CACAGACAGCAGGTCCGGCCACCGCTGCTATGCCAGAGCGGCTGCTCCATGCCAGGGGCTCGGCGGACCATGCACAAGCCCATCTCCAGGGCCGTCAGTCAGCGCTGTGCCGGGGCGGCAGCTGCCTGCGCACCCCACGGGCCCGTCCGGCTCTGCAGCACGAGGCTGTGCCTGCGGCGATCCGGCACAGACGGGCACGGAGCATTTTCCAGCAGGATGAGCACAGCCCCTTTCAGGTCAGCAGCTGAGTAGGTCAGTGAGGCCCCGGAGACTCCAAGGGGGCTGCGAGAGGCTGGGGGCAGCAAGCAGTGGCGTAGGAGAGGGGAGCAGAGCTGAGGGGCTGCAGCTAGCCCCGCTCCCTGCTGGAGATGCCCATTCCCTGACACCAGGACCACAGAGGTGCAGGAAAAGCCCAGCACGCATCAGAGCCCCAGCAGCTGGTGAAGCTGCTCAGTGTCACCCAAGTGACACTGTGACCCTGGCTGAGCTGGGGACAGGACAGTGTGGCCTGGCAGAGAAGAGGACACCTGCTGGGCACCTCCACCAACCAGTGTGCCAGGGCACAAGCAACAGGCACCACCACCACCCCCTCTGGAATGCCCAAACCCCAGGATGGAGCAACGCAGGCAGCTCCAGCACCCTCCAACCAGCCCCGTGTACCCTGCTCTTCCCAGACATCAGGGACTGGCCAGAGCCAGGATGGACACAGCATCCCCACGGCAGTTTTTGGGACAGAGCCCTGCAGGCACTGCTGCCCAGGAAGGGATTTAATTACGACCACGTGCCCGGGACATGCTGCTGGGCTGCCCAGCTCCAAGCATCTCCCACTGCTAGCCCCTGTGCTGGGGGTGACTTCTCACCGGAACAGAAATCCTCACCCCAGAGCACAAAGCAAAGCTCCTCTCCCAGGCTGGCATCACCCTTGCAGCAGGCAGCGCTAGGAGCAAGGCAGGGCTTCGGTGAGCTGCATGCTGCGGGCACATGGCAGGGCTTCGGTGAGCTGCATGCTGCGGGCACATGGCTGTGACCAAACACAGTGCTGGGTCTCTTCAGCTGGGCTTTTGTGGCCCGGCAGAGCAAACCCCAAATGCTCTCCCAGCCTCGCATGGAAAGCCCCTGCTGCCCTGGCCCCAGGCACCTGGAGGGCCCCGGTGAAACAGGCACAGGGTAAGGGACTGAACTGGGGCAGGAGGTGACCCCAGATACTCCTTAGCAACCCCATGCCAAGGAAGGGCAAAACGGAAGGTCACAGATGACATCCCAAAAGCACTCAAGCCGTGGGGTGAGGCCTGGGAGCCAGCTGCCCACTGTGCAGCGTCTCTGGCTCTCTTAGGGGCACACGGCTGGCACACTGAGGGGTCCCCAAAACTGGCATGCGTATGCTGTAGCTGTCACAGCAAGAAAAGCCTCAACTCGGGCTGCACCGCAGCACCGACGGCCCCTCGGCAAACACAAACTCTCAGAGCATGACCAAGCCCTGGCACCCCGGTCCCTGCCGGCCGAGGCCATCCGAGTGCCCCCCGCAGACCCCAAACAGGGGGCAGCCATGCCGCAGCGTCATGCTGGGGGCAAAACTCAATTCCCGCTTTGTGCTCCAGCCCCTCCATCTTACACAGAGCGATTCCCCACCTCCCTTCAGCTGGCACCGCAGCAAACCCACCCTGAACGCAGCGATGCACCGGGACACCCGCAAGCCCTGCACCCCTCTGCCCACAACAGCTCACAGGGAAGGGATGCTCAAGGACGGCGGCGGCGGCAGCGA